CTCACAACATCATCATCATCTTCATGATGCTCAGGATGACACCCAGTGGGGGTGGGGGGGTGGGGGGGGGTATAGTCCCACCTGGTCGAAAATGCTTACATAATGTTCAGCGTATTATTAGGGACGACTCTAACCACACAACGCAACTGTTCCGTTTCTTTCTTTTTTTATTGTATTTTTTTAAAATAAAGCCAGGTAAGCGGCTGCAGACGGCGCGTCCTCTCCGGTGCACGCGGTGGGGGCTGTGGCTGGTGATGTTGCATTTTGCGGGAGGAGTTGCCGTGGTTACACAGCAAAGGAACTATTTATTTCCACTCTTTTTTTATTATTATTATTCCGCTGGTGGCGGAACAGGTGGTGGATGTGCTTTAGCTGTGTGGCTGATTCCTGTGTGTATTGAAGGGCTCAGGTCATTTCAAGGTTATATGCAAAGGATGAATGGGCTTTTCAGAACGGCTGCTGTAGGTAACACGTACAATAATAATAATAATAATAATAATGCAGTTTCAGAAATTATCTGCGTAAAGAACATACAACACAACCAGAATTATGCGTATATGATCAGATTGTTCATTTGAATATAAACAAATGAGAATTTAACAACAATGCTACACTGAATCAAGACCCAGAAAATTACAACTATAAGTTATAAGAGAATTAAGCTGATGATTTGCATAAATCTTTAAATTTGTGTCACTTTTGCAGTGATGATCACAGGTTTACTGGCAACCATGACAGTCACCAGTCAAATCAAAACTACAGCATCCTAACCAACACTTTTATGTTAACTAACCATCTACGGTTTTTCTATTTAGCGGGACAAATAGACACACATTGATTAGAGGGTGTGCCAGAATGCCTCATTTTGAACGTCACAACAACAAGGCCTCTTGTCACCACATCATCATCACCATCACAGCCCACATCACCCTGTGTTACCTCTTTTCTACTGGTGTAAACAACATGTGACACTGCTGGCCTGCTGCTTTGTACAGTTCTAAGCATGATTCTTCATTGATTGCCTCTCTCTGCACGGGTCTGCCTACAGCGGTAGTCTTCGGTTTCACTTTGCGTTATCTCAGATTATCAATTGTCATACGAAGAGGACTCTGGAAATAACTCCAAGCAATGAGGGTGCCATAGAAAGCTGTACGGTTGATTGTAGCATTAGCCTGCACATCAATTTACACAGTGTTTTCTGTGTAAAGGACATGATGTTGAAAACATCATGTCCTTTACTTTGCAATTCTACTTTTATTTAACAATTGCAGAATAAAAAAAATAAATCCAAGGGTAAATCTCTGACATCCAAAAGACCAAAATATATTTTTATATACTGTATGGTTGCACTTAACACACTGGTTGCCATACAGCATGTACTTGAATTTTCACATTAGGTTTTTCTTTTACCAGAACAAAAACCTCCACTGCCATAATTGTAACAGCATGTACATTAACCATATTAAATGTTTTGGTGGATAATAACAATTCATATATATTTTGGTTTTTACACTCTAGACTAGACTGAAAGAGTCATCAATAATTGCTTTTGAGTTCAACCCATCTAATTCGATCTGTCAATATTTGTGCCCATCGTGTGAGACACAACACGGTGCAGGCAGTCAGCTCTTTTACAACAATGACCCCCAGTACAAACACAGGCCTCTCCAACACACTGCTACACTGACAGCACCTAATATGGCAAAGCAAAGTGATGACTTGTCACCAGTCAGGTGGGTGGTGGTGGTGGTGGTGGGGTAAAGGGGCGATGAGGTAATTGTTTTGATTTGTCGAAAAAAAAAAAAAAAACCTTCAGACAAAAGGGCCTTAACCCTGCTGCTCAACCCACTCTTGCTTTGGCCCGGTAGCTAAATCCAAGCTATTGTGCCTCACATAGTTGCATGGATTTGTCAGCAGTTGAGCAGGGGCGGTAGCAGGCAGAGGTGGCAGACACTGTGATGATAACTATGGATGTTTTTTTCTGGTAGAGAGGAAAAGACAATTGACTGCAGTGATGCATTGTATTATTTTCTTTTTCAATAACTAATCCCCAAAGCTTTTAGTTCAGTCGACAGAGGAAGGAGTAAAATTAATGAGACCCAGGATAAGAGACTTTTCCAGGAGACTCAGTCCGGATTAGACGTTGATAAGCAACCCCCTCATCACCACATCTTTACAAAGAGGCTTGAAGAGACCACCTGCCCCCTTGGAAAATTCAGCCAGCAAAACCAAATGCATACAGGCACCAGTGGGTTGCTCAGAGGGTAGAAAGTGAAATAAAAAAATGTGAAAATGACAGCAATGACAAAAAAAAACAAAAAACAAAACATGGCAAATACTTTTGGATAAAAAAATATGGACGTGAGATAAGCAGTAATAGCTCTGAAGAGATTAATGAATTGAGAATTCACTGATCACAAAGTAGTGGAGCTGATTAGACTCAAGATTGGTGAAAGTGAGACCCTGCTTTCACTGATGGACCAAATTAATGCACAGAGATGTTTCACAGGCACATGGGGAATATACAGAGATTAATTAAGGGAAAAAAAAATTTTTTCACTTGTAATTCTACTAGTTTCTATGGAAAATAAAAGTAGAGATGATGCAGTGTTTTTCGGTCCGAGCATGAACCAGATTAACATAGAAAATGGGTGTGAAACAAAATGTTATATTGAATATTATATATCAAAACTGAAATAACTGTTTTTTGCAACTTAAATAATAATATAATATATAAAGACAATGCAACAAATACAGCAACCAAACTGACCAAACCACGCTGCCAGCACCAGCTGCAATGACCACACTGACCTGCAGGGACTGCAATGACTGCACCAACAGCACCGACGTTGTCATATCCTTCCATGGGGCCCATATTTCCTGGCAGCACCATTGAGCTCAGGAACTAACGATGTAAACAAACAAACAAACAAACAAACAAAAACACAGAGAAATGTAGACAAATGTGACTGTAGTATTTTTTTAAAATACACAAAAAAAACTGCACATACATCAGAGCATGTGATGTTATTACTTTACATTCGGCTGATGTCTCCTAAGCTTCATTGCGTATTAAAGCAGAATACATTAGCTTAAAAATGCTGAGCTCATGAGCTTATCTGATGTGAAAAATCCAATCGTCCCTGGTCTTCTGCGACCTTGCAGCATTTCACCATAACTGGACAATGTCGTTGAAGGACAAATGAAAGGACAAAAGCGTCATATTGATCTGCCGCCTCCATCCTACATTTCACACCAACGTCCTACTTTTCACATGAATGAATTGGTCGTTTAACATGGCTGTTTGATGATTAATATCATGGCTTTACACCATAGTACACAATAAGCTGACCACAGCTCGGTGAAGGTGTCAGGAATCAAGTACAATTCCAGCAAACACTGACTCTACCGTTTTTTTGTTGTTGTTTTTTTCCAATTCCAGACATGTAAGTCATTTCAGGAAGGAAAGCATTGATGCAGAATGTGCCCAGCATCATAGGGTTAATCCTCATGTCAGCAGTCCCACAGATACAGATGGACCGACTTACTGGACTGTCGGGACAATTTATTTTTCTTTGAGGTGGAGAAAAATAGTCTCTTCCTGTCTGCTGAAAACTAGTTGAAGGAGGAAGTGACTGGGCCTGGGCAAGAGCCAGACAAATGAAAAAGATGGAAATAAGTTGAATATTATATGTTATATGCCCTGATATCATTAGGAAGGCGAAAGCACGGCTGTAATCCTATTTTAATCGCAGTGGATTTATTAAACAGGAGCAGCAGGTTTAAATCTCAGCAGATTACACAGAAGGTCCAAGGAGATATGGAGTGGTGGGGGTTGGTTTGGTGGGTGGCAAGAGTTGTGTAACCCAGTGCGCTTAAGGTGATGTAGTTCATCTTTGACATGTCGGGACAAACAGACAGGAAGGGAGGAAAGCATCAAAGTAATCCTAATATCCCAGGATTGGCTTTTTGCCTTAATTTTAATCATTCTGTTTTGTTGTAATCAACAAAAAAAAAAGACAAAATGAGGACTAATAATAAACAGATCTCAAATGTTTTGGTGTGTGCATACATTGGTGCATTGGTGTGTGTATACTTCAATGTCTGTGGAGCTGGTGTTAATGTCTATGTCTCTCTTTGTGTCAGATCTCTGAAGAAGAATGTGTTAATTCCAGGTCACATTCTATCTGGGTTTAATCAAATCAATCCCTTTTAAAGGTCATGTCAAGCAAGATTTAACCTGCAGGTCACCAGTACAAAAACAGATTAAAGTTGGAAAAAACCTGCATTTTTATTTTGAGCTATTGAAGTGTATATTGAAAAGGGATAATTAAGATATACTGATTATTTAATATTGTGAAATTATTAAATTTAAACTAAATTATTATTAACATCATTCATCAAAAATGTTTTTAAATGTTGTACACTTGTGTATTAAAATTAAAGAAATTCTATTTAATTGCACTTTACAATCAAATATTATATTCCGTTTTTTAAATTTAATATACAATTGCCACTGAGTTTTACACCGGAATTACATAATGGTTGCAATGTTATGCATTACACCTTCTTTCCTTCAATTTATTTAGACCAATTGCAGTATCAAGGTGCAGTATAAATACATAACACTGGGTGGCAGTAGCAGTGATTTAAACCAGACTGCATGGGGGAAATTTTAGCTTCGACACCCGCCTTGCTCCTTCCTCTTCCGGTTACGGCGACAGCAGGTATGGCGGCCTTTCTTTCACTTGATCCATTTTGATTTTAAAATCTACCCCAATCCTGCTTAATTGACGCAAATTTGGTCATCGTAAACCGAAGAAGCAATTTAAAAATAATGTTCTGTATACACTTTTGAGATTATTAGAAAAAAATGAGTTTATCTGTGATGATTTACCCTGCCGGTATTGGCCTGAGAGGCCACTCTGTTAACGCTACTCTTAAAGAACTCTCGTGGTTAAATTATTCAGACTGGAAAAGTACGTCTCGATCTTGTGTAGAAATATTTTCGTTGTAATACAGTTTCAACAAGCATTCTCAGCTACAGTCTGGTAGTCCAGTGGCTCTAGCAACTGTCGTTACGTGCCTGTATACATAGCAATATTAGCATTCTAGCTTAGCCTTGATACACAATTTAACAAACTGTTTTGTTTGCAGCTTCAAAATGGTGCAACGCCTGAAATACCGTCGTAGGTTGTCCTACAACACCGCTTCCAACAAAACCAGACTGTAAGTCCATAGTGTTTTTTCTAAAGTATCCTATTGTCATAGCAGTATCGCCGTGGCATGCATTTAAGTGTTCCAAACTTACTGTGTAACCGTGCTCTTGTGCAGTTCCCGGACACCTGGTAACCGTATTGTGTACCTGTACACCAAGAAAGTTGGCAAAGCCCCCAAGTCAGCATGTGGCATCTGCCCAGGAAGACTGCGTGGAGTAAGTACACGTGTATTAATTGTCTTTGATCAGTATAATTGTCATCTCAGGGGTATTGATTGTGTGTGGTTCTCTATCATTAGATGATAATTTGTTGGTTCTTATATGCTGGCCATGTTAGTGCTTTGTTTGTGGGTTTTTGTTAAAATATTGTGTAAATGAGCCTTTATGTATGTTTGTGATTTAGTCACAAGTAGCTGTAGCCGAGACAAGCACCAACCCCAAACCTCTACTGTTCAGCTAAGATGCAGGAACATCAAGACTGTGCTTATTGCATTACTAACACTATAGGCATTTGCAATGATTTTTAGACATTGTGTTGTCTGCTTTACCTGTTCTTTGAGAAACAAGTCACATTTGTAATGTTTGAATAACTATCTAAACACCAAACAAGTTTGACTTATAGTTTATTTAGTTGCTATTTTTTCTTCTACATCCACACACAGAGCACTTTGATAAGGTGAGCTGCTGGCAAGCAAATTGTCAGTAAAGGCCAATTAGCCCAAAAGTTAAAACTATTACTATTAATTAAACCAAAAAAGGCATAATTAAGTAGTCACCATGATAAAATACCATATTCAAGCAATAGTATTTTTACAATTAAAACGTATCTTAACAGGCTATAGTTCACAAAACTCACCCAATAATTTTAATACTTTTGAACAAAACATTGGCATACGTCGTCAACAAGTATCAAGAACAAGATTTGTTATAGGGAGTAAACACTTCTGTTGTAATTAAAGTGTGTCTGAATCTTAAAAAAAAAAAGAGAGAGAGAGAGAACCATCACCTTGTTGGTTTATTTGCTGTTTTCATTGTCCATTAGATTCGGGCTGTTAGACCTCAGGTTCTGATGAGGCTCTCCAAGACCAAGAAGCACGTCAGCAGGGCCTACGGAGGCTCCATGTGCGCCAAGTGTGTGCGTGACAGGTAAAGTTTTTGTCTTTTCTTGTTTCCCTGCACAGTTTTTATACTGGGTCTTCTGTCATTACTGACGAGATTTGAAATGACTTATTTTTAACAACCATTTGTATCTTTTTTTTTTTTCAGAATCAAGCGCGCTTTCCTTATTGAGGAGCAGAAGATTGTTGTCAAGGTGCTCAAGGCACAGGCACAGAGCCAGAAATCTAAGTAAACTGTGTATTTGTATTGCCACAATAAAAAAAAAAAAATAAGACAAATGACTTGCAGTGTTGTTGCATTTTCTTTGATCTGTCCATCTCCAGTGTAGTTTCAGCATATGATACACAGTGATTGAAGATGTGACACTTTTTACACTAACAGTACATGTGGTAGTGTTTTCTGTTGACAGATAAAAAAAAAAGATAACTTTTTATAGAAACATCAAAAGCTAATGCAAACATGATAATAAAGCTGCTGTCTGTAGCTTCAGCACAACTCTTACAAAGCCTAACTGTTAACTTTCTGTCATGCACAAAGTTGTATGGTGATAGAAACCAATGCTTGGAATGGGAAACTACTCAGAAAAACAAATGCTGTTGTGTTTCAACTAAAACTATCAGGGAGTGCTACCACATGAAACAAGCTTTTGGGTCCTTTTAGCATTACAGTAGGCATCATAATGGTTGCAAAGTTCGGAGTACTGTAGTATTGTGGAAAACAATTCTTGTCATACTATAAACTACTCGTCATTGTGACACTGCACACAACCAAATGTGACCTCTGCTTTTAACTCATCACCAAAGTGAACAGTGGGCAGCTTTAAGTGCAGGGGAGCAGTGTGTGGGGACAGTGCCATGCTCAGAGCACCTCAGTGGTAACTTGGCAGCTGGAGGACTCAAACCTGAAACCTTTCAGACCCAAGTCTGCTTCCTTACCCACTAAGCAACCACCCCCTCCTTTATCTAGCTAAAACCACAATTTCTTTGACACTGCATGAAATGAATTATTCTGTGTAACGGACCCTTCATTAAATGACCGCAATTTGTAGGTAGATATTCGAAATATCTTTAAAATTCATCTCGTTGAAATAATTTATTCATATTTAGTTTCATGTTTTAGTTTTACCCAAATTACTTTAGTAGGACATAATTATAGAACAATACCTGCCAAAGAAAACAATAAAAGCAAAGGTTTAAATTGAAACCTAAACAGAATTTCAGACTCAATTAAGGCGTACTGTCACGTTAACACAGCATGACGTCAGCAAGGCCTTGGAAAATATAATAAAAATAAGGCGAAAAAGTGAAATGCAAGGCCTTGGAAAATATAATAAAAATAAAAAGGCGAAAAAGTGAAATGAAATTTAAATATTGATCGCATTGGCGTTTATTCAATGCAAAATATAGGATTTCAATTAGGTAAAAATAAAAACAATGCTACATTGAATTTGTGTATAGAAAAAAAAAATACTTCCGGGACACGTCAACAGTAACGCAGTCGCAGCGGTGACGGTCCTCAGCCGGCGGCTGCAATTTTTACTGTGAGGATAACCAGCGTTTCCACAAACCATGGAGACTTTGTACAGCATACCGTTCTCTGTGCTCGAATGTCCGAATGTAAAACTGAAGAAACCGTCGTGGCTCCACATGCCGTCTGCTATGACCGTGTACGCGGTGGTTATCGTGTCCTACTTTCTCATCACTGGAGGTTCGTACTGCAAACAGGCTAACGTTGGCAACAAGAGGCTAACAAGCCACACTAACTAAAGCCTCTACGTGTTCTAAATACTTTCATTCACTGCTTTTGTATAGTCAAATGTCTAAGATCGTTTTGCCGTCTAAGCTTTGCCTAAACGTTTTAGATTGTTAATCGTATAGTTAGATAATAATTCTTACAATTGTTCAAATGACCAGCGATCACATTTCCACAAATTGTTATAGTAATTTTTCCTCAACGTTTAAGGTATATCCTAGTCGTTTCTCGAAAAGCTCAGATATTGCTGTTTAAAATTGCTGTTAATGTTGTGGACACAGACACTAAGTACATAAATGTAAAGTCAAATAATGTTAAGAACATGGGTAGAAAGTGTTATATTGAACAGAACTAATGAGACTTAATTGGCTGACTAAACCGGAAGTTGTGCTGTGTTCGCTTCCTGACCAGTATAATTTGTCTACACTACAGGTATCATCTATGATGTGATTGTTGAACCCCCAAGTGTGGGTTCAATGACTGATGAGCACGGACACCAGCGGCCTGTTGCATTCCTGGCATACAGGTACGACAGTACCTAGTATTTTGCATTTTAACGTATTTTACGCAATTTTATGCAATTTAAATAAATAAACATGCTTTGCCAACAAACAAAAAAAAAACACATTTATGAGATGTATTCAGTTAGTTTAGGTCATTAACTTAAATGTTCTCTATAACTTGGTTCTATTTGCTTTCTTAGGATTATTAGTCGTGATGAATGGTATTAGCTTTCTATTCTTAAGTTATTAGTATGCATGTTATTAGTATGCATTTTCTTGTGATATATATGTTGTAATTTATGAAATACTTTATGTTCAATTGAGTAATTTATTTTTAGTTTTTTAGTTATAGTTTTTGTGATATTGGAGTGTACTACATTGCTTGTTCATTTATTTTTAGCAATATTTGAATATTTGCAGGTATTTTGCAGTGTAAATATGATGAAAAAGATATTTTTAAAACTTTTAGAGGATTTACTGTTTTCTTAACAATTTTAGAGAAATGTTAACTTCAAATGAATCACAACTTAATCATAATTAAATAGATTAGTAGTGCAAGTATAGATTATAATACAGATTAAAGGAACGCCTACAACAAGCAATTAAAAAAACTAAGCCAAATAAAATCCTTCACAGTCCAATAGTTAAACAAGTACAACAATAACTGAAACAATGTGTTATTCTGTCTTACTTCATTGTTATCATACTTCGCTCAGGAGTTAAACAATAATTATTTTAACAGGAGCAATTACTTTGCAATTATTTCAAGTTGTTGTATTAACAGTTTTGTTTTTGTTGTTTTTCAGGGTAAATGGCCAGTACATTATGGAGGGATTAGCCTCCAGCTTCCTTTTCACCATGGGGGGGCTTGGCTTTATAATCCTGGACCGCTCCAATGCTCCTAACATTCCAAAACTTAACCGCTTCCTGTTGCTCTTTATCGGGTTTGTCAGCGTCCTCCTAAGCTTCTTCATGGCGCGAGTGTTTATGCGCATGAAGCTGCCGTAAGTTTAAATGTTTCTTAATGAACTCTTGAAAAAATAATGTTTTATCCTGTCTGGATCCTAATTTTGTCATGTGTCTTTTTCATTTTCAGAGGATACTTAATGGGCTAAATATGTCAACAAACAGGATGATGATTATGATGAAAGGATAACATTTAGTATGTGGGGCCCAAAAGAGATTCAACTAAATTTGTGGATTCGATCAGTCTTTCGATGTAATACACATCCATCTGGACTGAAGGCACTGACTGTCCTGATGAAATTAAACCTGGCTGCACTGACAGTCTCACTGCTGTGTTGTTTCAATAGTGTTTACTGACTTCCTTTTTCCTCAATTTTCTGAACAACAACACATCGTTGGGCAGACTTGTTTTTTTTTTTGCAGAAGATCCAACTCTCAGATACTTTTAAAGACAAAGAAAGACACTGGACACTTTTGGAACAGAGCCTTTTACATGGAAACCAGATTAGCACTGCAGAGGGGGGCACTTACAAAGTGGTGCAGCAAATGAATAGCATTGCAACTGTCACAAAGCCATTTTTGTACGACATTGTGAAATAAATCTCCATTTGAGAACAGGTTGCTCTTTTGTTTGCATTTATCATTAACATGTTGAACCTTTTTTGTCTTGACTGGTTGTAACAAACAGAAGGACTGAACCGAACTGAGCCGACCAAAGACACTGATACACTTGTGAGGCGCTCTCGAAATTGAAAATCCACATGAGCAATGTCATTTAAGCCCCAGAAGGTGGCGACAAAAGTCCATTATGTCCGTGCTCGTCACATTTAAAGACACTATCTGACACTACGAGAGAGAAAAAAATAGTTAAAGGTTGAATGCGGTCACTTGAGCCCCGAATTAAACAGTCATCACACAGCCCTGTAAACATTAATGCATGAGAAATGCAGTGTAAAGCAGCAAAATGCAATTTTGGTGCCTACATGAAAACATTTAAGGCAAAACAATGCAGAAAACTAATGTAAAATGACAGCAGAAACATTTAAAAATATATATTATTAAAGTATTTCATGTCCAAAGACAAAGAAATCTCAATTAACCTTGATTAATTACAACACAACAATGTCACAATTAATCAGGATTAAACCACATTTACCACATGGTCCTTTAACAAAGCTTTAAAAATTTGGTTTATAACATAAATTCTAAACAACAGGAATTTGTTTTAACCTGACTAGATTTCAGATTTAGAATTTCAATGGCAAAATTCCCACTAACACTCCACTTCTAGTCACACAATATTCAATTTATTAAAAACCTAAAGGTCATATTAAAGGGCATTTTAACAATTAAAGTGTTGCTTTGTAGGATAACATTTAGAATGTTTTTTTTTTATAATTCAAGTGTAATTGTAAAATACTTTCTAAAATTATACACCAATATCAATATAAAAATATTTGTCATCAAAGAAAGTTTTTGTGCACTTTCTCTGGAGAATTATGTTCCCTTCACATTTAGAACATCTGGTATGAATTATATGTGGAGTAGGAACACTGTGATGGTCTCATCAGTTGTTATGTCTTCACACGTTTAGTTTTTTGTCCAAGTACGGCTTGATTGTTTCCTTTGGTGTTAACCAAATCGCTGCGACACTTGAGTCCAATCTCATCAACCATCTGCTTAAAAAATAACCATGAACAAATAAAATCAGAATAAAACTTAATTTAGTAAAAATGAACAAATAAAATCAGAATAAAACTTTAAATAATTTAAACTTTAAATTTAGAATAAAAAATTTAGTAAAATAAAAAACTAAACATGTGTTATATAGAAATATGTCCACAAACTCACCTTTCTTTTACTAGATTCATTTTCTGTATTCTGAAACTTCAAACCCAGGGCATCCTCAAGTTCTGCAGAAAAAGAGGGAGTTAAGCTCTGTGTTGGCCCTTAGATACAGTCACATACTCAGAAAGATGATGATAAAATAGTAGTTTTCCAAATACCTGTAAGAATCTGGTCGATTTTATCCACCACCAGGTCGACATCCTCAGTAGTGAAGCACATGGGGGGTTTGAGTTTGAGTACATTGCGATGAGGGCCATCAGCACTCAGGAGAACTAGCTGTTTCTTTAGCCTGGCAAAATAAATATATATCGCAAAATAGTGAGGCACTTAGAAACCTTTAATTATAAACAGACAACAGGTATGCAATGCAATTTTATTATGTACATGACATGAGGCTTCCTTGTAGATACAGTATACCTAAAAAAGATTCACAATATATGTACTGAGTAGATGAACAAAGTAACAAACTGTTCTCGGCAAGACATTTATATCCTGACATAGTTAGCAGGAGTGTTAGCATTGTTTTTTTTAAAAAGCCCTTAAATGTCTGGATGCATCACTACCAATACCAGCATCAGACTCAATACCAAGTACTCAAAAACTCATACTCATAGTTGAAAATGTGACCTGTTTTCACAAAAACCAGCTGTGCACCGGTCAGCTGGTTTATTTGTCTCCTACTGCAGTTCAGTGTCTCCTTGTCCTCATGGCTAGTTCATTTATGTAGGTCAACAGTGTCAACACTTTGGAGATATTTAAACATTGAGGACAAGGACAGGAGCGCTGTCAAGTTTATTATGTGAAGAGCAAGATAATAAAACATTTTAAACATTTCTGTACACACAACTAAACTAAACCCTTCAATTTTTTTGTATATAATTATTTATATTCAAAGTAAATTTCTTGCTGTTGTTGTTGTAGTGTTGATCGCTGCTTGTTGTTTTGTTGTTTATTTAAGTGACCATTAAGGCAGAGTAAAGTTTGCATGTATCTATCTGTGATACACCTGCGAAGAAGCCTTCCCCAATTGCGTAATGTTTTAACTGAACATAATGATAATAAAGACTGTGATATTCTATTCTATTCTATTCTGTTCTGTTCTGTTCTATTCTATTCTATTCTAACTGTCTCTTCTTAGTTTAACATCACAGTAGACAGATTAGGCATTACACCTCACCAAGTCACTTTAAAAAAACTTTTTTAACCAAGATTAAGTATGTGTTCTTTTCATATAAAGGAATAAACTCACTCCTTTACTTGGAACAACAAATGCATTTGATTCTGGTTTTGTCCCACTTTATGTTGATAAGACCTATTTGAGATTTCAGATCAACGTTTTCCCCGACTAATAAAACGCTAATACAACAGTCTGGCACCATCTCTTCTTCTTTGACTGACCTGTATATGACTTCTTGAGCCTCTGCTGTAGCGGGAATGAGCTTCACTCTGTCCTTCACTAGCTCGACTCCGACAAAGAGGCCGCAGCCCCTGAAAAAATGACAGATGTTAGTCTTATATTTAATTTTAGAAATTTCGAAAACAGATGAAACTTATTGACAAATCCTTATTTTTTTAAGGGTTTTATCAGGACACAGGGCTCTGATAAATCATCAGTGGACCGAAACGTCAGACGATTTTTAAAACCATCCTTCAAGATTTACCAAATCAATCCTTAACTTCTCAGTCACTTTATTACATTTTGCACAAAACCAATCAGCCACCGCCTAGAGCTTTTCCTACCTGATGTCTCCAATCAGAGGATGCTTCTCTTTCTGCTTTTCAAGACGACTGGTCAGGTATTTACCCACGCGTAATGCATTACCCTGTAGATCCTCCTTGGAAATCACATCCAAAACTGCCAGACCGATGGCACACGACACTGGGTTACCACCAAACTGGGAAAATGAACCCACACATAGAGAAAATATTCTGGTGTGTGTATGATTACTGTACATAATACATACTGAGTAGTGTTTATGTCCATCATTATTGTTATAAGTCGTATTTTACTTTGGTGCTTACTGTATTGAAATACTGCATTCCTGATGACATGAAGGCCTCTGCCACCTCTTTGGTCGTCACCACACATGACATGGGATGACCATTGCCGATTGGCTTTCCCATGGTCACAATGTCCGGCACAAAGTCTTCCCCTTGAAGCTGGAAGGCCCAGAAGTGGGTGCCCACACGGCCGAATCCCACCTGGACTTCGTCCGCAATGAAAACACCCCCCGCCTTGTGTACATGGCTGAAGGTTTTGCATCAGTGTGCACAGGTGTGGAGGTCCATTTAGGTTTTCAGGTTAACGGTGAAAAAGAAAATTCAGAACACAAACACATAGTCTGACTATAAAAGTACAAGTCCTGCCTTATCTTATCTTGAATATATTTATTAACCAATGGTCAATGTCACTTCACTGATAATGTTTTTTTTTTTTTAATCTGTAATTGAGATTGCGGTCATGGACATAACTCCAGGTTACATACGCTGCCACTTGCTGGAAGTAGCCAACGGGGGGAATAACCTGCCCACCACAGCTCTGCAATGACTCAGCGATAAACGCAGCAATCTGTGCAGGAGGACAGAAAAACAAAAACGATCAGGTCTGGCTGATGTTCTACATTAACAAAGAGGAGAAGAGTCCTGGCTTCTTGTTGTCCACTTTCACTTTTCAGTTAGCAGAGCACAAAGGGAGAGAGATAGTCATTATCTTCTTGGAAAGCATGTTACCTCAGGTCACAGTGGAGATAAAATTCATGGTAACAACAAGTGCAGGGCTGTTTGCTTGTCTGGGTTCACAAGGGAGGATGAAGAAAATAAAAGTTTCTGTCAGTGAGCTCTCCTGCTGCGGACACACATTTGCCCAGAACTCCACCTGCATTCGAAACTGCTTGTGTTACTCATATATGGAGTACTGTCAGGGCAGTACATGGGTCCTCCTCACCAGCAGATGTTTGGACATACCACAGGGTTGTGCATTTAATGATTGGATTGGATTAAGATCTTCTACACATGTTCAAAAACCAGAGTCCTCAGCCTGATCCTGAGAATGAACAGAAAAGGTGAAAGAGGAGAAAAAAGGGGGAAAAAAGCAGAAGGTGGGAAATCAAAAAGGTGTAAGTCAACAAAATGGTAGGAAATATTGATTCAAGGGTAAATTAATGTTAGGGAAAATATTTATATGAAGAATTATGATTTCAGTGAAGTTTCTTCACATTTCCCTTTTGGTATGAAAGACTCCAGTCAGCCTCTATGTGTTTGCCTGATAACACGTTCCTTAAAACAAAATAACCAGTTTTGTCACTTTGCACTGACATTTGGAGCCTGGGAACATACAAGTCATACTTACAAACACTTCAATATACAATCAATGTGGTAAATTTACTAACTAACACATCATATTGACCAAACGTACCTTGCCTCCTTTTCGGTCAACTCTCTCTATTATGTCTTTGACTTCATGTGCATATGCTGTGGCAGGGTCAGGGTGGTCCGCTCTGTATTTGCCTCTGTACACATCTGGGCTGGGAGCCTTATTATGAAAAAATAAGAAAAAAAAAACATACAGTATCAATGGTAGCCAGTGATACTTTCAATCATGTGATCAACCATATGGTATCATATGATAAAGAGTTTATTTATTTGTTAATGTCAGTAAGTGAATATATGAAGTTTTACAACAACAGGTTTCACTGTACTTCACACCTGTGTACCTTACACATTAAAGCTGACCCCAGAAGTTCACAACAGAAAAGACACATTCTGACTTTTGATGTTCATTAAATGCCACCAAATGAAAAGAAAGGCATCAGTGTTAATTGTCTATAATTATATGAACCTATTATTCCAGCCCGTCTAACCACGCCTATCACTTTGTTTCATTTTAAACATTGCATCCTTAGAGGAACACAAACTAGAGCACACCACCTTCCTGCTTCCTTTCAAAACAACCACGTTGACGTCTTGCCCTGATGAATCTGTTTAAAGTACGGCATGTAACACTAGAGCTGTGTAATCCACCGGCTGTAATGTCAAGCTGCAGCTATGATGTCAGTGACCAGAGGAGAATCCAGGGTTTTACAGGTCACGGGACAGAAGGGCGAGCAGGCAAACAGTAATGAAGAGGTTTTATAATAAACAGGCAGAAAACGCAAAACTATATAAACGCAGGGTGTTGACATAAAAAAAAAAAGCTGGATGAGTATTTATCAAACCTGATATTCCTGTCTGCCGTACCACAACTAGTCAATCGGTCTGCTTCACTGATGTGCCTATGTTCTTAAGGTAAACCCAAAACTTTCAGCATTCTACTTAAATCAAATTGTTTACATTTTGCCCTGAAGAAGCTGTTCGGACTAAATAAATGTTAAAAAACAATAAAAGTTGAAAAACAAGTTGTAAATTACAGGAAAGTCTGATGTTTCTCTTCCTATCTCTTTGACACGCGCTCGCGCACACACACACACACTGTATACACACACTTGTGCCTATCTGCAAACAGGGTGTGAATAAATACTCAGCGACCTGCCACAACCCGGCAAAGCAAGTTGAGTCATGGTGTTTTAATAGAGCGCAGGCAGGCAACGCAGGGAGAGTAAAAAGCACTCACCACATGAACAAATGGATTCTGCTCAGCATCTGACAGCTGGTGGAACTTATAGGGGCTGATGTCAATGAGCGAGGAGACGTGGCCGTGGTACGCACTGCAAACAGAGGAAAACCAGGCCATGGACCAAAACAGATCTGATTTATACTATTTTATAGAGGGATAAACTCATAGATACATGAAGAGGGTACGAGTTGAGTCGTGAGCAGATGCTCTCACTTACTTTTCCAGCGTAATAATATCTCGGTGGCCTCTGTACTGCCTTGCCAGTCGAAGGGCCAGGTCATTAGCTTCAGAGCTGAAGTTCAAGAGGGCCAAGGGTTACTCTGAGTTACTCTGTCACCATAAAATACACAACTGATGCTGCGGATAAAGCATTCCTGGGACAATGTTTTTTTCACTGTTGCGAAGGTGTATCCAGTGAAACGTGTAATTATTAATTTTGTTATAATCTTTCCGAATTCAATTGTGTAAGCTAATTATGTCATTTCTAATATTTAAGGCATGCAGGAGTAAGATTATAGGTCAAACCCAAGAGCAAGAATTCATGTTTCTAATGCTGACAAAGGAAATGAAGGCAAACGTTTAAAGTAAGTAAAAGTGTGTGCTTTGGACTGTAGTAACAACTTGTTACTACAGCTTCCTCACAGTGCTCTCCAAAATCTTTTTTGAGAGTTTGAGATGAACATTTTAACTCAAGTACTGAATAGTCAGTTCCTACCAGACAAGTTCAGGGTTCTGAATTTGGTCCCTCACTCCGTTTTAGACTTCCTTAAACTATAGCAGGTCATTCATAAGATTACCACCAATCACATAGAAGTCATGCAACATTTAAAAAAATAAAAAAAGAAAGAAAGAAAGAACACAAGGAAGTCCAGATAATCTAGACCCTCAAAACAGGGTTGCAGTACAGCAAATCCCGTCCCACCAGGATACATCGAAAGTACAAATTAAAAACTCAAACTAAAACACAAATGTGCCATGTAACTGTGTTAGGAGTGAAATCTGTGTGACCTTCAGCAGCAGACTTTTGCTCTTCTCTGAATTCAGTTGTATGACATTTCCTTGTCTCTTTATTTCACCTCCAATAGACCTGTCTCCTGCTGCATGTATTGAGTTGTGAGTTATATTAACTCAGACCAGATCATTCCTGTTCACAAGTGCAGTGAGACGTGTCAATGAGTAACTACACTGGATGGGTCCAGTGTGATAGGTAGCTTTTTTCTAAATCCTTGTTAGGAAATCTAAGAGACACTGTGGTGTTGTTTTTGTGGACTGTGGAATATTGTTAATCTTTGTTAATTGTCTGCAGTCTGAGCTCTACATTAAACATTGAACAAAATAACCTTGAATATTTTATAGCCTTTCTTGATATGATTTAACCTCTGATCTGAAACGAGCGATGCTTCATGCTCAACAACACTCTTTATCGCGTGTGAACAGTTCATCTCATTCCACCGCCTGTTAGATTAGAGACACAATTGAAAAGACCAGTTCTGCCCGTGATCATTCTACCAACACAACAATCCCTTCATCTTGAACTGACTGACTTCAATATTATTTTTGTCATCTGGGGTGTGACAGGGGAAGGAAGACATACCCAGAGTTGACAAAATAACACACAGACAGCTTCTCTGGCAACGTTGCTTGCAACCTCTGTGCGTAGAGGACGAGCTTGTCATGCAGGAAACGTGAGTTGGTGTTGAGTTGTTCCATCTGCTGTTGTCCGGCCCGCACCACCTCTGGGTGGCAGTGGCCCACTAAAAAACAACAAGAGAAACGGACCAAGTAAATAATCGGAAATTAAGTTAGACATTTATGTAAACAATAATTATTTATTGCATATGCTTACCATGAGCCACATTGTTGATGCAGTCTAGGTAGCGCTGTCCTGTTTCATCATACATGAACTGGCCTTTGGCCTGGACAATTTTGACCGGGTCGTTGCTGAACAAAATCTTACATGATGGTCTGCAGAGAAGCAGAAGGTCATTACTGAGGTGGGCTCAAGTCAGTCTGCTGTGGTCTGCGCCCAGTTTCTCCACAAGACATACACCCTATGCTTTCAGACTCCTAGTTGCAACAAACTCTTAGGAAAAGTCCTGGATGTCTGAGGTAATGGATGCAATTTCTTTTTCATTTTTAAGACTTATGTGGCTTCCTTTTCCCAAACTGTGCTGACTGGGCAATATAAAAAATTGACAAAACACAGTAATCAAACTACACATAATATTATGGATTGTAGGTCGGTCTAAAGCAGGTGTCAAAGGGCCACATCGGCAATAGAGGTTCCCCTTAAAGGTCGGTTGTAAATGGAAGACTGCTGTAACTACTACGGATTTATCAAGTTGAGAAGCTCAGCAGCATGGAGGTTATTATAAAGCAATTAAACTTTTTTTTAACTATTGTAGGCTACACAAAATGACTTGGCGGGCCGCATTTGGCCCGCAGGCCTTGAGTTTGACACATGTAGTCTAGAATTATGACATATTTTATATATACAAATATACAAATGACCTGTTACATAAAGATTGTATTAATTATTCACACTTTATATAGACTCTGTGGTGAATTATTTTTGTATTATATTAAATTTCATTAAATAATATTTTAATTTACTTCTGAGGTGTACGTTTACAAAACTGACTTTACAGGAAGTTCACAGCTGATAGAAGTCAATGCCAAAGTGAAACGTTGCAGCTCTGAGGATCTCACTCACCCGATGTGCTTCTTCCTCAGCTCGATCGTGGTCTGCTTCCCAAATATCTCCGCAGACATCCTGATTTTGTCCTGATGTAGTCCAGGTCCGGGTAAGTATGACGCACACTGCTCCACCGCACCGACTGCACAGATCTGAAATCCGCGTCCTCGCTTGACGTCTTTTTATACGCACGTGCACACGCACGCCTCATATGTTGTGGAGCGACGCTTTCTTCGGTGCGAGCGGTAACCGGTAATCGAGGAGTGGAGCCCAAACTACAGCTGTGGAACAGCTGTTTGTGTGCGCCGCTGTGCACGTGCGAGTATCTTTGCATATGCTGGAATGTAAGGAACAAGTTTCGCCACAACACAAGGGTGTGGCGCTTTTCAATAACTTTGTTTTTTTAAACAGTTATTAAAAGCCATCTCTTACGTATTGTTTACGTTTCTGTGGTTGGTAATGCATTGTGAAAAGGTAGGCGTGGGCGTGCGCATTAGCAAGAATTGCGTGTGCGTGTGTGTATGTGTTTGGTGGGGGGAGCATATAATGCAACAATAGTTGCATAATGGTCACAAGATTCACATTCTCTGTAGTCATACAGCTAAATCCGTTGATCATAATACATTGATCATCGTTGTAAACAAACTCTGCACAGACATGTCACGACACATTTAAGTGTTCAGATTTTACACACCTGTTCATTGCCCTAGATGAATAAATGATAAATGAAGGAGGGAAACCAGTGCACAGACACTGGAATTGGTCAAATTGACCCGTAACATAATAGGAAAGTTAAAGGACGTTCTGTAGGAAAAATGACCATCTAGTGGTGACCTAGAGCTGTCTTTACAACACAAAAGGCATGTGTGTGTCTGTGTTGCCAACTGTCATTTTAAATTGTACTGAACAAGACCTGTGACTTCACTCCTAAAATGTGTAAAGGTTCAGTAATGACCCCCCCACTTAAGGCTTGATCCAGTCTATTTTTTCCAGTCCTTTTACCCCTCCTCCCCCCATTGTTAGCATAAGTTTATTGACCTGTCCGTGGTATCCATTTAGTTGGTAGTTGCCTGTTTGCTAAATAGCTGCGACTAAGAAGCCCATCTAACAAAGGTAACAAGTCAGACAGTTAAAAGCAAAGTGTGTGTAATGCAGGTCTTTGCCATGGTACGGTTGACAATGCATGTCCCTTTGAAACCCAAAATGTACCAAAAACAAGCAACCATTTGTAATATGCACACAGGTAACCAAACAAGTCTACGTGCAATGAGGAGACATGATGTGAATAAATATGAGTAAAAAAAGCTCAATTACTTTTTCACACTTTTAGGTGACGTTACACCTATAAAAACATCAGTTAATGTATTCCATGTTTACTTTCTCAGAATAGAATGAAATCAAAGTGTGGTCGTTTTGAGGGCTGTGATGAAGTTAACCACATATTTTACAACAGTATGGAATAAACATAACATTTTGAGGGAAAATGAAAATATCTTAAAGTAACTAAACATGCAACTAAGTTCTGATGCTGACTATTTCCTTTCCTTTCCTACAATACCTTCACAGCAAATGTTAGATTCGTGGCTAAACATGGGTTGGCCTCTGAGAAAGGAATGTCTGACGCAAGGTATGTAGTTTAGTTTTACTGCGGGATATTTTTCGTGTTTCTGTCTCTCCTCTGTACTTGATCTCCTTCATATCTTATAATTTGATAGCTGTAATTACTATAGGCTGTGGAACAGGTACACAGATAATAGAGTATATAATTACACTGCAAGTTCATTTTAAGACAAACAAGACTTCACTGAAGTCCAAAGGCCACGAAGGTCAGAAGATGAAGTTTGCTTAACTGTATATACAACGTATCCTGTCCCCATTTTCTCCACCCAACCCTTTTTTTTTTTTTTGGGAAAATGTTAATTCATTAACAAAGTGTAAAATGCCACAAAGTAGATCTTTTCCATAGAAAGAATTAACAAAATAAAGTTAAAAATTTAAATCACCATACAAAAAAACCTAAACAAGCAAATGTTCCCCAGATTTTTTCTTCAAATAAATCTGTAAATCTTTCAGACAATTGAGGAAACCGGCCTGCAGGCAGACCAGTCACACTCACACAGTTTGAATGTCCCATTCAGAGGACTTCACCTCACATACTTTACAGCCAAATAGGACTACAGTGTTGGGACAGGGATTAGTATGTAACATTTCTAAATACCTAAATAGTAGCAGCAGCTGCTCCTGCCTCTTATTAATTTAAATGATCACATGTCACCCCTCAGTTCACTGAGCTACTGGTTACCCACTGATGCCTGCACCAAATTCCAATCACTTATGCTAGCCTACAAGGTTCTAAATGGGTCTGCTCCAATCTGTTTTAGCACCCTGATAAAGGCTTATGTTAGCCCACGACCACTCCTCTCCACTGGGGACCATCGTCTGGCAGTCCCAACACCTCGCACAAGACAATCCTGGCTCTTCTGATGGATCGTTCCAGGCTGGTGGAATGAGCTGCCCAGCATCACCAGAACAGGAGCGTCCCTGCCTATTTTTAAAACGTTCTTGAAGACCCAGCTATTCAGAGGGCACCTCCTGCCTTAGCACTCGCACTTATCTCCACCGTAGTTAAGAAGTCTCACTTTACTAGTCAGCAGTCTCTTCACAAGAGTTTCGCCTCATAACTCACATCTTCAGACCATGACAGTAACATGACCATGTGAAAAAGTAGAAAAAAGTAAAACATTTAAACAATCTTGACTGCAAGTGTCTGCCAGGATGGATTGTTCTTAATCACTTTACTACAGTCATGCCTCCTCCTTGGCTGGGTCACTACTCAATACATATTTTGATCATTTTTTGTATACTGTATATTCGTTTCCACACAGACCAGCTTATGCCTACATTCACGAAAAACAAGTCTATGGTATCACGTGATTGAAAGACTGCATTTATTTGGCTCTGATAGTACAGCTATGAGTAATGTCAGTTTGAAATATAAGAGGCTCTTCAAAGAAATGTCAATCAAGTGAATGAAAACAACAGGAGTAACAGAAAAGCAGAACTTCGAAAGTACATTGAAGCACAACCAAGAGTACTACTTGCTCCTGTACCATACCAGTGCTTTGTTCTGAAAGCCTTCCATAACCACATGTACTCATTTAAAATGGTGAAATAAAAAACCCAGATGTGGGATATTTGGAGTTTCTCACTCTGATAATACTGACATGAAAAGTACGGTTTGATAAAATCTGCTGAAATAAAAAAAAATCTCAATGTTAAACATAGAAATAACAAGTATGTCAACTAAATAAAATAAAATAAAAACTTAAATGTTAGCTGCACATGCTAAAGATACAGCACCTTGTGAAAATTGTCCTCTGATAATGTCTGAATGTGTAAACAAAAAAAAACTTCTAATAACCATAAACTAACACTTTTAAACACACGCTTCAAAGACAGATATGGAGAGTTAATACAAGGTTTACATTTGTTTATGTTTCTTTATCTTTTGGGAAATAAACATTTTGTTTGCAGATAGTGGTACACAGTGTAGCACGACTGAACATGCACAGATCACAGTTGTGATGTTTCAGCTGCATTTGATGCTACACACATCAACCAAAGTAGAAAAAACAAATTGCACTTGTCAAATGAGCACACATTTTAAACAGTACAATAATAATCCACTATACATATAATCAAACTACATTCAATGCAAGGAGATAGAGACAGAGCATGAGAAAAAGCTGAAGTTTCCGCAGTTTCTTTAGGCCAGTCCTTCACTGTTACCTTTCTAAACCTCTAAATCAGGGGTCTCAAACTCAAATGCACTGGGACCACTGTTGCCTCTGCCCTGTCATTGAAGAACCAACAGGTCGGGGTCAGATTATATTGTACCGACATCTAGTCCCAGGCCGCATGTTGGATGTTCGTGGGCTCAAAGTGAGCTTGAGACCCCAACACCAAATTATAAATATTAAAGCAGATGCACTGCAAAGTACGCCCAAAATCCTTAAGTAAATACATGCCAACTTGAAAAAGACTTCACTGTACCACTGTTGCGTAACTTCTTCATGATGCCTTTAAGATTCCAAGATCATCAACAGACCAACAACAGAGGCTGCACAACAACTGAAAAGGAATGTTGTTGAGAATCACAATGCCTTCATTTAAGAAATCATAAAAAAATAAATAAGGTCTCACTTAAAATACTGACACAAATACACATATATATGCACAAATCATCAAACCCCAACAACAATCAAGAAACCTGTTGTGTTGTCCTTGCCACAAGTAGAGTGCAACGGAGCTGTAGATGACAAGCCGTCAGTCGGAACTGATGACAATGTCAAACTGTAAGACGATGAGATGTGGGTTTAAATCCTCTCCACCTGTGGTTGCAGCTGTCACAACAAATGTTGGTTTTTCATCTGCTAAAAGTGTGGCTCCACCATTTACGTAAAACATACATGTTTATTTCACTGTACAAACCAACCAACAAAATAGAACTACCAGGACCAGGTTTTAGTGACAAAAACGGGTGAAACCTGCAGCTCTGTCCTTTTAGACTGGTCGGAGGTTTTCCAGCATTTTATTTCACATGCTAATGAACCCAAGGCTGCAGCCCAAAGAAAACCATAGACTGGGCTCCAAATGTTTCTTTGACAGGGGGAACAACAAAGGCCTAGCACTTGTGATTTTGGTGACCATGAGAAAGTGAACTGTGACATTTGGAACATTTAAAAAAAAAAATATAATAGATAGTGGAGTTAATTGCTTAAAAACTTTGCAGGACCTTTGCAGAGAAATATGTAAATATAAATCCTTGAACTAGTTACTGGTACTAATAGTTGTGACACATACACTATAACAAAGACATTTAATATGCAAATAGCATAAAACAAAGATATATAAAAGAAATCCAGCACAGATCTACATTTGTTCCATGTGATGGAATGTGACAGAACTGGCCACCTGTTAGCTTGTTGTTAGATTTTGGAAATAGCTTTTCTGACACTGTTTTACATCTTTTCTGTGTTTTCAGGCAACAGGAGAGGTGTGGAGTATAACAACCAAGGTCCTATAAAACAACAATGAAGTGTCCTATAAACTCATGCAGGACACGGTGATCATATAACTGCTGGTAGGCAAACAGTCGGCTGATTAATGACAAGTTCCTTCTTACCGCTAGCAGCCTGCTTTACTACTTCCTGCTTTACTACTTCCTGCTCCATTAATGCCACCTACACACTGC